GGGGGGGGGGGGGGGGGGGGGGGGGGTGGCACCCCGCCCCCCCCCCCCCTCCCCACAACGGGGTCCCGCCAGGCGCTGCTGCATCTCGGGCCGCTGCTCGGCCGGCCTGAGAAAGGAAAGTCCCGGGGCCCTTTGCTAGCGGGCGCGCGCTCCTGTTCCCTGGCTCAGTAGGATAGGCGCCTGTTTGCTACCGAACAGATCTGTAAGGGGAAAGCCTGCGTCCTCATTGAATATTTGGATGGCATGTTGCGCCTAACACCGACATCCGATATTTATCATGTTTACACACTCTTTCTCCCTCCCTTCCTCTCTGTGATTATTCTGTGTTTTATTTTTCTTTCTGTAGGTGTGTGTTGTACACATAGAGTGCACATGGAAAGCTACATACAGAAATACAAAAGAAAGATAAAGGCAAAACTCATAAGCACAAGCCCTATTTTAGTAATTTTTCAGGAAGTTTAAGACAGAATCATCAGAAATATGAGTCTCTTGGGCTGGAACAACCCACTCTATTTTTACTAGTCATAATGAGCGCAGTCCACAGTTCTCCTACGCACTGGGGTTGTGTGCAAGAGAACTTCCCTAGATTGAATCGTCTTCGCCTAAAACAGCATTTGGACTTTGGACAATTCCCTTAAAAACAAACAGAACGGATTTCTTCTTTCTGGGCTACGTGGATTGATTTTTAAAGGACAATTCAACAAGCCATTCTTTGATCCAGCAGAGCCTGGGTCTAAGGCAAGGCCATCCAAAATTTCCCCACAAAGCATGCTCTGTTAGTTAGAAAAGTAGAGAGAAGGGCCCGGGGAGGAGAGGAGAAAGCAGCTGAGTTGAAGGGGAGTTTTAAAATCTGTTTAGGATGGGTTTAGTTCTTATTCCTCGCCCCTCCCCTCAAAACCCCTAAATAAATAAGGATTCAACCCTATTATTTATCCTATTAGCATCTTTAGAAAAGGAAACCCGCGACGCCTAGTTAGTTATTTCAAAAAGGACTTTAAAAGACAACCAATTTGGCAGAGAAAAAGTAATAAGAGCTATCACGGTCCATCCGGGTCCCGGGGGGGGGGGGGCTCAGGCTCACAATAAGAGGGAACCCCAGTGTGTAAGTTTGCTTACTTACAAGAATACTGGATGCTCTCAGTGGTGGCGAGCCAACGCGTGTAGGGATTATCAGTGTTGTCATAAAAGGGGTTCTTCAGAGGCAGCGTCTGAACAGCGTCCAATGCGGTTGTCCCCAAAACGCCGGGCTTTTGGGGGGACTCCGAACCCTCCGTCTCTTCCTCCCCCCCTTCCACGATGGATCCGTCTTCGTCATTGGTGTCAGGCAAGTCCAAGATGTCCTTTACAGAAAAGCCGGTCTTTGTGTTGGTTAGAGA